CTGCCATTTCATAGAAACATGTTCCACTTGATAACTTCTGCTGATTTTGTGTTTGTATTGTAAGAATCCTTATTCTCTTGCATGGGCTGGGCTTTCCATCCTACATCACCTTGACTGGGAGTGAAAATTCCCATTAAATAAGTGATAATTTTACCATATTGCTGCTCACTGTGTGTAGTGCAGTTAATATGATGCAAATATGTAAAAAAAATAATCTCATTTCAACAGGTTCAGTCTGCTCTGTGTGATGAGAATGAATACCCCCAAAACCTGACACAAGCCTCAAGCAGTGTGAACAAACCCAAATACCTGTTAAATCTTGGTTCAGTAAGGTGTTTGTGCCTGAGGTTATTTTAACATGTATGCTGTCCTACCACTGTCAATGGCAATACCATGCCCAGGTGACCATTGGCAAGCAAAGCTAAGCCTTGATTATCTCTATTTTACTGTTGAAAAGAATGAGTGATTCTTCTGCCTCTCTCTGTACTTCCTTTCTTAGGAAAATATTTCCAGCAGTATTTTTCTTTAGTTTCTGTCATGGTTCTGGAGAACAGTGAGTTGCCATGTCCTATCCCAACTGGTGTCAACAAAAAATTTCTCTTCATTTAAGATAGATTTCTACTCAGAGCTTAACTAAATCTGTGGACTAACCTTAAGCCTTTGAAATTGATCTCTGCTCGGTGGAGAAACATCACTTCTGGCCATGTTTTGCTTTTGATACGATGCTGCTGTGTGCCTTGAACCACATTCTGTATCTAGAAGTTTTTTTTCCACATATGCCCTCAACAGCACCTATGCACAACTAGAGGTCATGATGCGCAACAGAAAAACTTCCAAATAATTAGTCATAGCACAGCTTTAGTAAGAAACAGGAGCACAAGCCTGAGAATAAGCATCTGAGGTGTTCCATTTGGTGAGACCATACAACTAATGAGTAACTCAGTGTATTTACCAAGATACTACCCACTTGGGACTAATGACTTGAAGAAATGTAAAACAGTAGCCTATACTTAGTAGCTACAATATCATTAGGTCTCCAGGTTAAGGAAAATACCAATGTATGGAAATTATTCTGAGCGTTATGGAATCATTAAGGTTGGAAAAGACTGCTGAGATGATCTAGTCCAATTATCAACCCACAAAACCGCATCCCTCATCTCCACAGTGTTCCACTGAGTTTCTGTAGAGCACAGAAAGCGACAGCTCAGGTGCAGTGTTCCAGGGTTGGCAGGATTCCTGTGAACGAGGAGTTTATAACCTCCCATTGATCATTCCTTTTTGCAACACGTGTATAAAAGAGCAATCTGAAGTTCCAGGAATGTCATGTCGGGATGATGAGTCCATCAATTTTCTTTGGTTGTAGGTTTCCCTTCAGTGGCTGGAATGTAAATTACGAGAAGCTGAAGGAGAAAGCTGCAAATTATTGGGCACTGTCAACTTCAATATCCTCAGTCTGATGGATCTGTGATTTGACAACAATCTGCTTGTCAGTCACTCTTGCAAAATATTAACACATCTGATTATCAGATGTGTTAGCCAACTGTTCACTCTAACAGTGGGTGCAGTCATAAGTCCAGGGATGCCGTGGCTCACTTAGGCTGCTCATGCTCATGTTGCAGAGCATCTGCTAAAACTCAGGAGCTGCTCAGCTGTTCTTTGCTGGCCTGTGACAGCTGAGTTGTTTAGAGGTTTGGTGCTTTCTAGGAAATCCTTGCTGAGGGATTCCTGTCTGTTTCTATGAGAAAAGCAGAAAGAATTGTTGCCCAACTGGAAGGAGATGGGACTGTATTGAAGAGGCCACCAGAGATTGGTGGCATCCCTTGGCAGTGGGAATGGGCTCAACGTTGGTAAGAAATCTGCAGTGCAGTAAGGGAGGGTTGCCTGTTCTCCCTTCCAAACAACAAAAAACAGAATTTTGAGAATATTTTTTGTTAATGCTAGTGGAGAACACCTCTAGCATTACAGCATAAAATGAAAGAGTTATGTGATGACAACCTCCAGCACCTCTGCTTGTGGAGCTGCAGTAGCGAGGTGGGTGGAAATACCTACTAACAGGAGCGCCTGCCCTTAATAAGCACTGTTAGTTTAATTGCCACCATTACAGACGTTAGCAGCAGCAGGAAGAAGAAAGGGATCGCCTGTCAAGTGGAGTGGGAGCACCAGGACAGTCAGTGATGCAGACTGCTGCACTCTGCTGAATGCATAATGAAACTGCCAACCAGCACAAACAAAAAATTATGAACTTAAGCTATAAGTCCTTGTCAGAAATTCTTGCAGCTTTTTTCTGTGTGACTGTATAAAAGTACTCAAAAAAAAAAAATGTCTGCAGAACTGGCACCAGCTGCTGGCTTAGAAAGCTCCAAGGTACCTTCCACCAATTGGTCTTGCTGAACCTTTATATATGAGGTATTAATCAATTTATTACATTCAATTGCTTGTATGGATTTTTTTTAACAGTTGTAGCTTTAAGTCTACTGCTTAAAAAATGATGATGGGTTTGTCTGTCTCATGCTGTAAGTTGGAATGGGCTGCTCTAGATACAAATGTTGTGCTGAATGTTAAGAACAGTCACCTGGTGAAAAATAAATAAAAGTATGAGTGCTAACCAAATGTAAATATATCTGCCATACATAAGGTGCTAGTAAATGCTGACATTCAGAGGCAGGGAATGTGGTCTGGGAGGAGGACACTGGTTTTTGCAATTACAGTCACAATCCATTCTCAAAAGATTAAAGTTTTACACAGTGGTTGTTCTCAGGAAATTTGCTGAATCCTAATATTAAAGATGAAAGCATAATAAAGGGTGATTTTTTTTTTTTTTTAAAGAATTGGCTGATAGATTTGATTTGCCAGTTTTCACTGAAGCAAAACTTTCTACTGACTTCAATTATCAGTAAATTGTGTTGACCTCAATAAGGATTTTTGCAGAACTGGGCCCATAGCATGAATAGGCTGTTCTGTACAGAAAAGGCACTGCATGAAAATGGCATCTTCTTACTCATCAGTTCTGCCTCCTGGGGGCATACTGAGCTGCAGCATCTGACTTTAATGACAAAAATGAGGTTATGCTATTCTTTCCTCCTGCAAAAGCTTTTCATAACCAGAGAGAGAATTTGTGCAAAGCAACAAGATGAGAAGCTGGGGTTGCCTCATGCAAAAGACTGGTGAGGTGCTGGCATGGGCTGCCTAGGGAAGTGGGGAAGTCACCATCCCTGGAGGTACTTAAGAATCATGGAGATGTGGCACTAAGGGATGTAGTGAGTGGGCAGTATTGGTGGTAGTCGGATGGTTGGACTAGATGATCTTCGAGGTCTTTTCCTACCTTTGTGACTCTGTGATTCTATGATTCTATGCTGCTTCTTGGTGACTGTGCCCAGTAACAGTCAACACAACTGCTTGCTTTCAGGTGCCAGGTTGCCTCTGCCTGGTAACACTTGGAAAAGAAATATTTTGGTTTATAAGACAAGAAAATATGATATTAAGACACTGAGAGAGGAAAACCCAAGAATTCTAACCCTGTGATAGCTTGGAGGCCCCCCTTTGATAGTTCAGCTTTTCTGTGATTTGTGTTACCCCATGTTGTCCTGCCCATAGGACAAGGGGAAATGGTTTTAAAGTAAAGGAGTGGAGGTTTAGGTTAGATGTCAGGGGGAACAGAGAGAGCACCGAGGCCCTGACTCAGGCTGACCAGAGAGGTGATGAGTACCTCATCCCTTGCCCCATTCCAAGACCTGGTTAGATGGGGTTCTGAACAGCCTGATCTGGTAAGGGGAGCCAGCCTATGGAATAACATGATCTTTCATGTCCCTTCCAACATAAGCCATTCACAGCCCCCTGATTTCAACAGCAGGCTTTGGGTGGTGGTGTTGGATTGACCAGAGTTGGACAGTGATGGTCCCCAGCCCTGCTTTGCATGCAACGATGAATCATACTGTTGTTTTCCCACTGGTCTATTCCAGTCAGGGAGCTTTAAATGCTCGCTGTTTGACATCCTCCTGATTTATTGCATTTGTAAAGGTGACCTTAAATATTTTAATGGTAATAATTCTTTCAAGGGCTTGAATCTGTAAATGTGCTATGTTCATATTTTGGCATTATATACTGTAGGCAATTTAATCCATATAAGCAGTTTCAGTGATATTAACACTGTAGGCAAACTGATACTAAAGTTTAAATGTCAGAGAGAGTTTCATATTAGATCTAGTGCAAACAAAGCATTTTTTCTTCAAGTACTGAGGCATAAAACACCAGGAGATAGTAAAGACAGGGAGCGCCAATGAATCTGAAATAAAATGGTGGTGAAATTTATAGTATTTTCAAATATGTGCCCTATCCAAGGACTGCTGCAGCTGCACAGATCTATAAAATTGGAGATAAGAGAAAAACCTTGTAGTGCTTCAGAATAAATGCACCTCCACTGGGGTATCTATCTGGGTTCCTGTAACTCCTTGGAGATTTACTATTTCACCTTGGATTTATTACCCCACTGTGCATGCTGTAGATGGCATTTTATGTTTTCTTCACCGCTCTGTTCATTATATGATGGCAGTTCCCAGCTGTAATCATGGTGAGGAACGTGCTGCTGAACCCTCGCCTGCCCATTGCCAATGGGTGTGGGTGCAGAAACTCCTGGATGAGGCTGTCATTATTCATCCAGTGATGCTATAGGAGCAGTGGGACTGGGAATGTTCCCAGTCCACATTCCTGAAGTGCCCTTTTGCACACATGATGGGCAGGAAGACTTCTAACTTAATGGTGAAAATGTATGGGCTGGATAAACAGAGGGATGCTTTAATTTTTCTAGGGTAGTAGTAAGCTGCTGGATTGCACTTGATGGTACCAGTCCATAAAATCTGTGAGAAATGGTCAAAAAGTTTATTGTCCATGTATGTATGGACTTTATGTTGACCCCATAAAGCAATGGGGATAATGTATAAAAGCACAGGCTGTTGGTTAGGGTGTTTTCTTATTGAATAACATGACCTGCTTTGAAATCTCATAGTTGGAATCCTGTGGCCTAAAAGGGGAGGTTGTAGTGAGCAGAACCCTAAAAATAAGCAACCAATGTGCATACTTTTCTTTGTTTTATATTAGGATATATAAATGTTATATTCTAAAGGCCATGGAAACCCTTACCTTGACATCAAGCCCCATATTTCATGCAGGTAAGCAATAGAGATTGTCAAGATGACTGTCTGATGTCCCTAGGATATCTTGCTAGTGCTATCTTCCATTAGACACAGACATCTTCCTTTCTTCTTTTCCATCAATAAGGCTCTTTCAGCTTTATCTGCAGTGGGCAACCTTGGTTGCTTCAGCCTTGAAAGGGCCTTAAATCTTCAGTTTTCTCGTACGTTTTCCAGCAGAAGAATTATGCATACAAGCACAAGGTGATGAATGGGAGAAGAAACCTGTCCCTCTAGGAATGCTGATTCCAAAATAGTGAGCATTTGCTTCACTCTGCTAACACCAAGGAGATGGACTCCTTCTCCAGGTTTCCAGTCAAGGAGGAAAACATGCTTTGAAACCAAGTACATCTTTCTTAAGTTTAATTGTATTTCAATACTATGCATCCCAATTTCACAAACAGTTGCTACAGAAGTTCCTGAACTCAGACTGGTGTATGAGGTGAGATAGTTGTCTGGATAACAGAATTTGTGTGTGTGGTGTAAATGTTTCTTCATAATCAGCCTGCATTGTATTGTGTAATTTTCTCCTCTCCAACACTTTGCCAATCACCATTATGACACTCAGCACAATTGTTAATCAGATTTTTTAGAAGTGGGACAAAGCTGGAAATCTCCATTACAGAGAGCACAGAATGGTGTGGAACAAATGTGGGTTTCATGGGAGAATAACAGGAGGACTCAGAAGTGACAGTTTTTGAGCCTTTTCTCTGAGCAACCTAAGTTTGCAAAATCACAGGAGAAGGAAGCTCGAGTGCTGTTAGATGAGAGATGAAGGCATAAAGGGAAAGACCAGTGAGAATTCAAATATATGAGCTGATGGTGCTCCTTTTTCCAAGGGTTTTGTCCTTCCTGCTAAGCACAGAAGGTTTAAACCCACTGACAGTTCACACAGCTGAACTGGCATGTTCATTGCTCTTGCTTAACTACATGGGACTACACCATTGGACATGGCAGCATCCCTTTTATTCTGTACTTAAGGAGTTAAGACCACCTCAGCGGGGCAGGAAAAATGCCCCACAGCCTCCATCCTTCTGTGGCTTTAAATCTCCCAAGCTGGACCCTGCTGAACTCTGCTGAAATTTCCCAGACCAGAAACAAAGAGCTCAAAAACCCTCAAAATGCCGTGAGTGAGAAAGAAGATTCCGCATCTTTCAGGAGCAGTTTCTTTAACCTCTCAGGAAACTCAGGCATAAATAAGATCATCTCAGCATTGTAATTGTGTCAAGGTGAACTTATTATTTGTTCCTCAGCAATTGCAAGCTGAAGGATTCATCTGGAACAGCACTTCCTTCAGGAGCTCGCGACAGCAGATGTGACTGTCGCCTTTTCTTGCCACGACACTTGGTTGAAGCGACCTGTGCACAGTTTGCAATCAACAAACCCTCAAAAATCGATGAGGAAATGAATGTGCTCAAAAGCTGGTTATGAATTTCAGTCTCTTCCTGAATAAGAGCCAAGACTTTTAATATTCAGATCTCTAATCAATATTTAAAGAAAATCCAACTATGAAGATCAACCTGTGCATTTGTGCTTTTGTTCTAATTGCAATGTTCAGGAGCTGATATGTTCAGGCTTCTTTAATTTTGAACTCTAATAAGTGCTAGAGGAACCCAATTTTAGTTGTCTCTCTGCACCTTTTCTAGCCAAAAGCAATTCCTTAGCTTTCTTTATCTTCCTTAAATTGACAAACTGTAAATAAGGTCTTATCATGGCTTGCTTCTCCATAGAAAGCATCATCATCATATTTAAAAACATATATAGAATGACTTGCGATAATTGCTACTACATCAATACATGATAAACCAATAAATTAAAGTAATGGTGCGTAAAGTGATGAATTCTGATAGACTTAAGGCAGTATAAAAAATAATTGGAGACTTTATTGCTCTTTCCATTTTTAATGGGGTGCTGCAGCAGTACATTCTTGCAGTGGGGGTGGAGAGGTAAATTAATCTTTATGCATCATCATCAAGCAGTGTAAACATGGCCAAACTTAATTATGATATAATAGATTGTTAAATGTCTGCCCCACGGAGGTGTGATTGCTCTCATGCAAGTGATTACAGTGGAGATGTCTACCAGGCAAGGTCCTCTTTACAAGGCTGCTGGTAGCTTTTGCCTCTGACAATAAATCCAATTGGAAAGCCATGCCAGCAAGGCAGCTTTCCATGGTGCCAGCTGTGGCAGAGCTGTATGTGGGAGACAAACACAAATTTACAGCAGAGCGTTAATGACACATGGCCAGAAATTGCTGTACTTTGCCAGGAAAAACTCTTGTTTCACTACAGACACAATGAACATTTTCCCAGCAGGGGCTGCAGTACTGGATGCCCCTTTGTATCCCCAACCTGCTGGCCTGGGGTCCTGCCCCAGTGCATACAGGGGTGGCAAAATATGGAGGACCTCTGGCCCCATGTTCTTGCAGAGCAAAAAATAATCTTGACATATTGTCTCTTGGAAATTATAGCACATTAAGGGGAAAGATGCAATACAATGTGTATTTTCTGCTCCTGTCTCCAATATTGTTTTCTGTCATTAGCAGCACTGTTCATAACACAGATGTGTGATTTTATGAGCCCATTGTACTATTACTTCTCTTTCCATGGTAACAATTTAATTTACACTTACATATATAAGTATATATTTATCCATAGTAGACGTACTCTGCGGTGAACTTGCTTCCTTAATGGACTAAGTTCACTGAAAGAACACAGGGTAATAATTTATACTTCAAATGTGGCTGCAAAATATAGTTCATAAATCTCACATTACAGGGTGTTTGTGGAAAAATTGCTGGGAACTGGTTCTGAGAAAGGGGTATGTTTTACGGAGTTCACAGAATCACAGAATGGCCGGGGTTGGAAGGGACCTCAAGGATCATGAATCTCCAAGTTTTTGCAAGCAGTCTGGATCTGATGTCTGTAAAATGTGTTCAGCAGAAAATTCAGGCTAGTGAATAACTCCTGAATGTGTCTGCTTTAAAACTCATGGTGTCAATTCAGCAGTCGTGTTTTGTGTTTCGGCATTGCGATGCTGACACTGGCATGAGCTAGTTGGGTGAGGAGTGGCAGGTTTCTTTCATGCTGCCAAGTACTGAAAGATGTGTTAATAACTGGAAATCAAGCAGAAGTGTAATCTGTAATCCCTTTGTTACTCTAAACGGCCTTTTGGAATTCAATATACTTGTGTTTATTCCCTGATTATTGTACTTAGTTCGATGTTAAACTGCTTCACGAATTAGGATCTGCTTTGGAGAAGGACTCCCCTGCCAGAATACCTCAAACATCTCCAGAGCTGAGAACATCTCTTGTGATGGAAACTGTTATTGCTGGTGAGTGGGAAAGGGGGGAAAAAACGTTACAGTGCCATGGAAATGGTCCACTCTGGATCACCAACGAAGCCAACTAGATTCTTTTTGTCAATCAGAAAAAAACAGCGGGGAAAGCATGAAATCATAAGATCCCAAGTATATATGGTCACTGGTGTACTTTGCAGAGGGCCTCTCAGTACTTTAATTTTTATTTTAATTCCTTAATTCTCAGTTATTATGCAATTCTTCTTATTGTTTGCACCATCTAAATCTAAGCCAGTCTAATCTAGTGTGGACATACACAAACATCTCAAAGTCAGATTGCATCCCTCAATCTTGCTTTTACATTCTCACTTTTTGATAATGGCTTTTACTAGCAGCCCAGTTTAAAGTCTTAATTTTATCTAATTCCTCTAAATGCACAATGATTCTTCAACTGGAAAGGAAAAAGTGCAGCTCTGAATGATCCATATGTTGAAGTACTGTATTTTCATCATTTAAATGATAAACTTCCCATCAAATATCCACAAACGTACATTCACGATTCCCATCCAGTGATCTATTGGCCAGAGGCACATACATTGTTTTAATTTATTTTGGAGTAAAGGTGCTTTCCTGCCGAGTTTGAATAAGCTTGCTATGTACGAAACAGATGTTCAATAAAAGAGAGACTTTACTGAATATGACATATAAACACGGGGAAAGAGGATGAAGAAAGGAAAATTACAGGAAGTGTGCATTCCTGGTTCATCAAACAACAGGCCACAGTTCTAATCAGGGTCCTTTTATAGATGGCAGTAATGAAGCAGAAGGAGTGGGGATGTCTTGGGAGAAAGTAACATTTATGCTTTGCTTCTGGTGGAATTGGTGAGCCCACTGAGATACTACACAGTTTTCTTTGCAGTAGTATGATGGCTTCTGTAGTTGCTGACATTTTCCTCACATCACAGGGAAAAAAATATATATATATATATAAAAATATAAATTCATCTGCACGATCTGAGAGAATTGCAGTGTCTGAGGTGGGCACCTGAGTATTTCTTCCTCTTGTGTAAAATACCTAATGTTACTCTGGCCAGGGAAACTCTTGTATCTATTCAGATGCACCTGTCATGGCGAGAGGCATTCATAAGAGCAAAGCTGGCCTGATAAAGCATTGCTGATGGGAGATCAGAGAGGGAATGCTGCCTTTGAGATAAGCAGGCTCTGCTTTGAAGGGCTTCTCCTTTGTGTAAGAATTCTGTGGTGGGAATATCCACCTGCTGGGGGATGTCTCCCTGGGCCACCTCCTGAGAGGGACACAGAAGGAAAAGCCCCCACTGTCCACTCTCACAGAGTTGTGTGGGGGAAAGGCTGGATTTATGGATGGTTGTGTCAAGGTGATTCTTTGTGCCAGATCTGTCATGGCTGGATCCCATAAACAGGTTTGTCTCACTCTGCTTTCCAGGATTGATGCATCAAGGTGGTGAAAACCTTTTGTACTTCAATATAGTTGTGGGCACTTTGGTAAAATCTGATGATACGGGAGGCAAACTCTTCCCATCTGCATCAGTTAGCACAATCAAAATCATTCCTAGTAAGAGGGGTGATGTCCTGGCATGCAGAGGAGGAAAACCTACATGAATGTCTTTAGGCTGCTGAGGGTTTCCATAGAAGGATAATTAAATCAGTTTGTGCTGGAACTTCAAAACACTCAGAACAAACCTTTCTTTTACAGCACCGCTAAGGCAAAAGGAAGACTGTGATGAGGAGTATCATGTTTGGTTGGGTTTGTTTTTGCTTTTTAATATAGCCTTTTCGAGAGTCTCATTAGCAGTTCACAACACAATATATTTGCTGGTCTTTTAAGCGTACAAACAAATGCAACTGCATCCCGAGAGGAAGAGGCACATACATGGTGCAAGATGTTTTGGTGGGGTCTGTAAACCAGTGCTGGAAAAAGGAATCCCATTTGGGATCAGAAGTTTCAAACATAAAACCGCACTAATGATACCAATCAGTATCACCAAAGATATTTTAGTTCTAGCTTACATATGTTTCAAACAGCTGGTGCTGAGGAGCACCCAGCACTCCCTGAGACTCTTGAGAGCATTATTGAAGCTTGGTGGCTTGATGCTGCTGCTTCCCAAAGGTTAAGCTGCTGTTAGGACTGAGAGAAATGCCTTTTTATCAATAGTTATTAAGCTGAATCTCCATACGTGTTACTCAGATGAGAACGCACAGCCACTTTCAATGGCAAACTTTCTTTCAGCAAGTTCTCAGTTATAAAAGGAAAGTTTCCATCTCTCCCACAGGCAGAGTATTCTGAGCCTTTCTTAACACTCCCACACTCACTTAAAAAGAAAAAAAAAAAAAGAAAAATACCTTTCTACTACCTACAAAATGTGCATTTTCATTTTGTCACGTGCAAAATGATAATCAAATATGGAGGCTCTGCACCTCTGAGCTTATCAGCTGCAGGTCTGAAAATCCATGGAGAGTTTTCAAGTAACTGAGCATAAAAAGAAACATCTTCATTTCTAAACAGCCTAAATGCATTTCTTCTTTCTCCTTTATTTTGCATGCCTCTCTAGGACAAAAAAGAAAAATGGAAAAGTGCAATTTCAGGCATGTTCGCTGCATGTTCACAAATCAGTTCCAGCCATCATTGCACAGGGCTGGGGGCTGGTTGCTGCTGGGCAAAATTGTCATTGCTACAGGCCAAATCCCTCAGTGTAATGGGTCAGGTAGAGTGCTGGGAAATCTGTTTTGTGGGATCCAGGCCAAACTTCAAGTCCAGCCATTGAGAAACATGTTCTTTTTTCCCTTCCGCTCAGAAAAGCTCTTGAGTTCCTTATTATAAAGTTGTAACAATGCAAATGTTGAAGCGCTATCTAGGCATGAATTCAGGACACAAAATAGCTGACTCATAGAATCATTAAGGTTGGAAAAGACCACTAAGATTATCTAGTCCAAACACCTTCTCATCGGCACTGGTCCCACTAAACCATGTTGCTGCAGAGCTCAGCACACTGCAGTGCTCTATGAGTTGCCAGTCCTACTTGGGGCAATGCTGAGGTGCTGAGCAGAAGAGGAACTGCACCAAGCCTAGCCCAAAAACTGAGCCAGACTGGTAGGCTGTAGAGCCAGGAAAGCAAAATATGGGAAGATTTGAAAAAAAAACCTGGGTGATGTTTTGAACAAGACGCTCTGGTGGTCTTAATAATTCCCCGATCACAAACATATATGAAATGAGCCCTTGATGAGAAAGGTCTGATTACAAATAACCTGCAGAGAGATGAAAGTTTGCTTTTAATATGGTTTGTTTTTTCTTTTTTTTTTTTTTTTTAAGTCTGCTTTAGACTTTCAAGAGGCTTCAAAAGAAGGCAAAGACTTGAAAACAGTTTGATTTAAAACTGTTAGATGTGTGAAATAAAATGCTGGACAATAAGAGATGTAAAACAGGCAACAAGTGCAAATGACTTAAATCAAATTAAAGAGCTAATTGAAAATAATGGAATTAAAACCTTTTTTTTTTGTTGTTTTTGTTTTTGTTTTTAGTCATCTGCTTTACATCACTTTTTGCAACAGCATTTTTTTTAATCTTTTTTACTTTGAAGAACAAACTTTTCCCATCATGAAAGACAACGATTTTAATCAGTATATGAATTGTCGTTCTGTGGGGATAAAGCATGCCGGGCAGGAAGAGAAGCACCACCAGCACAAACCAGCAGGATTGTCAGGCAGCCATAGGCTTTTGTCCAAGAGGCTCCCTGAGACAACATCATGGCACCAGGTTGTTTTATCTCCCACTGCCTCATTGGCACTTCTTTACTTCCATTCTCTGCCCTAGCTGAAGGACACAGTTCTGAGAAGGCTTTTTGCTCAGATCATCTAATATATATTTCTGTTCTTAAAAAAAGGCTATGAGGACCTTCTAGCACAGTCTTCCATTGAGAAAAAAGAGGGAAAAGCCAATGGAGGAATCATGAGAACCATTCCCTTGCCCATGGGAGCACTATTTTTTAAACAAAGTTCTTTCCCTTAAGTACTGACTTTATTAACAGGGAGAGGGGAAGTGAATGTCTGCTCGGCGCCAGAAATGGCATAAAGAAATCACATATGAGACTGAAGCACAAACCATGACCACTCACAGCTCCCTACGATTGGTGCAATATCCAATCAGTCTCAGTGAGGTTTTTCAGGAAAAGGGGTTAAGAAAAAAAAAAAAAAAGAAAAGAGGAAGAGAGAAAACCAACCCCAGTGCATTCCCATAATGATGGGTCTAAAAATGCCCCACTCACTGATGCAAAATTACAGTTATTGTTTATCCTCCTATGCCTACTTTACACAGTTTTATACAATACGCACCAGGAAAAATACAAGCAAACAACCACCACATTAGTTAAGAGACCTTCCATTTTACTTTGGCAGTTCACGATAATGGAATTTAATTGTGGAAAAAGCTGAATAATTTTAGCTGAATGTCATTTGGTTCATTCAAACTGGGAATCAGGGACATTTTTAACAAAGGTTTTCAAACTTCTTTTGAAATCAGGAAGCTGCTGTGCACAGATAAGGGGAGAGGTTTGAGGATTCTCTATCAGAAATTTCAAGGTTTTTTCCATCTGCTTTTTCACATTAACTGGTAATTATCCAGAAAGGCACATAATAGTGCAGAAATGACAGAAGCTGACAAAGGTTTTCCTAAGATATGTAAATTGTCAGTGATAGGCAAGGTGCAACAGAAAGGCTTTCTACAGCACAATTATTTATGCCAGTTTCATTTGCTTTTAGGTAGCACTGATGGCATACTGCACGGCCACGCTTATCGCACGCGCTGCACATTCCCTCTGCCACCAGCAGCTGCACACACTGTGCTCCCAGCGTGTTGGGCTCCTCTGGCTCCAGTATTTCGCACCGTGCCCGCCTGCATGCAGATATTGCTGAGAACTCTCCTCTTCGAGAATTCCCGCCTTCGTTTCTCCAAACAAACAGGTGAAACCCTTCCCATCGGAACAGCCCCGTTGGCAGTAGGGCTTTCATACACAGTGCCAGCGCGCGTGGCACAGCACTGTCCCAGCAGTCACAGGGTGAGTTGAGTCTGTGCCATGCAAGCACAACGATGGAGAGTGGCTGGTTGATAAATATCCCCTTTCAAAATGAGAACTTGAGATTCCGAGCCATCCAGGGAGGTCAGTTCTTGTTTTTAAGCAAAGCTTAAGAGAATTCATGGTGCTGTGCACAGATGAAATTCCTGCCTGATCCCAGCCAGGTTCAACTCACACCAGTTATGGGCTTTAATTGACTTTTTCTGGAAACTGGATTTCATATGAAACTACATACATGATGAGTGAAGTTCTTTAATGGATGAAAGTGAGTACTATTGGTGATAATGGATTTTAGTGAGTACTCTTGTGATAGGAGGATGGTTGGACTGGATGATCTTGAAGGTCTTTTCCAACCTTAGTGATTCTGTGATTCTGTGAAAAGACTTTACGTCTTGGGGCCTGATATAGCAGTACCGGAGATATTATGGTGGTATAACTACTTTACATAACTGTGTGAGTGATGGCAAATTACGGTGATGGGGGTATTGCTATGGGGTGGGGAGAGGGGTGGGAATAATTTCCTTGAAGGTAATATTATGTTACTGGGAGCTGTGAGAAGGTAGACAGTAAAGCAGTACAAGAGATTTATATGTATTAAGAAGTCTGATACACTACATTTGAAGTTGATGGGTTTAGCTATTAGCTGCGAGGATCTTTCCTCCTTGTTGAAGTTTTGAGCAAGGTGAGAAGCAGTGTCCCAGTTATAAGGGGCTTTGCATCTTCATTGCAGGTTTGGCTAAGTAGTCACACCAACGTAAACCAAACATACCCATTTTTTAAGGAGAAACTGATATACTTTGTACTCCAATTAGTGGTCTATTGCCTCAGGGAGGAGAACTTAGGCACATACCTGCCAGCAAAAAAGTGCAGACTTACCTGCAGAGCTTACATTTCAGCCATTAAATAATTGCAGCAAAATGCTCAACGCCTGTCTACACCCAGAGAATTGCTTACTAAAACTATTCAGTAAATAATTGTGAATAATGATTCCATCAAAGGAAATTGCATACTGAAAAAGGTGTGAAATCCAGTAGATGAATTATTCACTTCAATTTATTTGTTCAGCCAACTACTAAAGAGTAGAAATAAGGACTTCAGAGGGCATGGGAAGACACAGGGACAGTGTAAAATGGCAAGAGAATTTAAAGTAGCCCCAGGGCTGGGGAGGAACTTGTTCACTTGTGATGCATCCGGGTGCCGGGCTGAACTTCTGGGTGTAAGTATGCACGTGTTCTGTGACATACAGCTTAAATGGCCTTTATATACTTTTTGGTGCTTGATAACGAGATGGAGAGGAGAATGTATTTCCAAGTCATCTCCTTGAAGCCATTTGTGTTGTAAGCATATAAAGCAGTTTGACTCAACTACATCAATTTAATTTGTGATGAGCCCAGTGCCCCCAGAGATGTGTGTGATGTTGGCTTGGCTGTTACGGGATTTCACTCCTCAGACAGTTTTGTGTATCTGATGAGCTTCATGTTAAAAGAGGATGAGTTTAAAAAACATGAAAAACTTTGATGAAGTAATGTGCAAGAAAAACATCTGTTCTTTTTAGAGACAATGTCCCTTTGCCAAAGCACAGTCATCTATAAAATACCCACTCAGTACCCCTTGCTTCTGTTGTAATCAGAAGCTCCAAATTTCATAAATGTTCCTGATTTATCCAATGGGATGGTGAAAGGTTCAAAGTTGGAAGAGATTTCTAGTGCTATATTTTGCCTAAAAGTCCTTTGCTGTAAAATTTGGGTGTGCTTTAAGCGAGCCATGCTCCTCCTGATATATCTTTCTTAGGGATGCTGAAAATCATTTATAAATGGTCACTGGGGACAGGAGCTTGAACATTAGGAAAACATTTCTTCTCCAAAGAGTGGTTGTGCACTAGAACAGACTGCCCAGGGAGGTGGGGGAGTCAACGTCCCTGCAGGTATTCAAGAATTGTGGAGATACGGTGCTTAGGGACAGGGTTTAGTGGGCAATATTGGTGATAGGTGGGTGGTTGGATCAGATGATCTTAGATGCCTTTTCCAACCTTAATGATTACATGGTTCTTTCTCTCCGGGTCATAAAAAGATTATCTGAAAAGAGCAATGCTGAAGAAAATCTTTAAAGCAAATTCTCATTGACCACAGTCTTCCAGGTTCTGTGCAGTGAAGACAAAGCTTCCAAACGTGATATCCAGCATTGGGGCAGGAATTTGAATAGGAAGCTGTGGGGTTCTAAATGCAGAAAGCTGGTCCAAATGTATTGTCCAGGTTATCTGTTGTTGTTGTTGGTTTGTTTTGTTTTTCTTTCCTGCAGCCTCTTGCCATGCTTTGCAAGAAAAAAAAAAAAATTAAACATATTTCAGAGTCATTGAACTGTGCTCACATTAACTTACACTAAAATTATTTTTAATTAAATGAACTTCCCCTGTTTGTAGCTGGAAGGTACTTATGTGAGATAAAAACTCCATTCTAATAAGGCTGAGCCTCACTGCCACTTAATTAGCACCAGGACTGATGGCAGAGGCAGCGGGCGGGGGCTGCCAGGTCTGGGGGAGCTGCTCCCTCCCCACCAGCCCCGGCCGCACGGCACGCCGGGAGCAGAGCACGACCAGTGTTTGACACAGTTTATGGCAAAAGCAATTATAATTAACATTATATTAAATATTAAGTCAAGATCATAAAATGTTGATTGGTGCTGATTAGCTGTATAATCCATAATTAGAAATCACTGCACCCTTCACCAGGTAGTGTAGTGCTTCGCTTATGATTTCACTGCGAAATTAAATGACTGATTCAGCTTTTGCCCTGAGTTTTATTATAATTTAGGTCAGAACCACATTCCAGTGAAGCAAGACACAAGCCCTCTTCCTGCTGAGGATGCTCCCAACACTCCATCCCAAGCTCAGCTTTTTTATGTCTTTACATCTATTTTATCAGTGATGGCCATGGCTGCAGACTTGTCCACAACTTTCCATTTAATTTTTGTATGAATTTTTTGTATTTCTGTAGAATGTTTTTGTCAAAATCTGCTGTAGCCTGGCCAATGGGAGAACGTGAAGCACAACAGCTCCTCACAGTGCTGCAGGCACTTGAGGCTGGGAAGAGCCCAGGACACGCAGTTGATGAAATCATTGCAATCGTGATGCTCCACTGATTCAAACTAACCAGTGTTTTGGCTAAATGACAGAGAAAGCAGCCTTGCAGAGGGCATGCAGCCAGGAGGCAACAGGGCTGCCAGCCAGGCAGAGAGAAATGCAAGATTCCCTGCAGCTGGCATCATAGGATGCCCCCACCAGATCAGTCTGCTTGGAGCTCCATCCAACCTGGCCTTGAGCACCTCCAGGTATGAGGCACCTACATCGGTGTATATCAGTGGTTATATTTTGATGTAAAATGTGGTATTAAGCTTGCAAATCTTCTCTCCTTCTTTTATGGGATGGGATAGGGAAGATCTACTCTCATGTATAAAAAGGAGAATATCCTCCGTATGTGTTAGGCAGGATGTGATGCTGCATCCCAGTATAAAACCGTATTCACATCCACAGCACAGCCCTCATCTCCTGCCTGTGATATGTAGAGGATCTTTCCATCCAGCAGACAGCTTTGTGGCTCATCTCAGAGCAAAGCTGTCTATTTTTGCCTGCAGAACCAATGCATTAACATGGAGGAGTGGCACCAACAAGAATCGCTGGAGCTGCTGCCCGGCACCCAGTCCCCTATTTCTCCTTCAAATCTTTTTTTTCCAATTAAATTAATTTAAAATGAATGAAAAAATGCGTCATGCCCTAAGATCCTGAAAGCTCTGGTGTCAGCTGAAAGCAGCATTCCTGCTCCCAGCTGCAGCCCTCGCTGCAGGCACCTCTGCTTTGAAGCCTTTGAAGTGGCTGTGGCACAGGCAAGGCTCTCTGTGGAGAAAGGCAGTCATTTTATATATATTTAATGTGTAAAGTGTGGGTGTTTGTGTTAGCATAACCGATTCTTACAATGCACAGAGAATGTTGTGGAAGAGTTCTTGACCTGCAGAACCAAATTGCAGAAAAAACCCCCAGCGGTCATGGTAGGATGGGTCCTTCCCACCCCAAATTGTGTAAATTGGGTAAGTGTAGCCAGACAGCTGCAGATGAAAGCATGAAAAGTGCTTCTTTGGTGCTCATTTTATAGATGAATTTATTGTTTATAAGAGCGAGAGACTGAAACATTTCTTCCAGCATCGGGATTTACTTTTAGTGGAAAGAATGCTGTTGGGATGTGATGCAAGAACAATGCAATAAATGTGATTAATGGTTGGTTTTTGGAGCTAATTACTGGGCTCACTTGGTAATGACCTTGATCCTAGGAGCGCTGTGTGTGGCTTGGGAGGCAGACTGTGTGTGAGAGATGATCTGATATATAGTTGTATGTGAGCGAAGGACCCACCTCAGCAATCACTGGCACTAATTCAGTGGTTGATTTGTCTAAATTGATAAATTTCCCTACGGTTTATTTATTATTTTTTTTTCAAGGAGAGATTCAAAATTGATGCCTCTATTTCAGAATCAACACCATTTATTCACCACACACCACGATCATTCCAGCCTGTAAAGGACAAGGTTTCAGCTCCAGCTCCTCAACCATCTCATTGCATGCCATCAGAGCAACAGTGCCGTGTGCTCTGGTGAATGACTCCTCCAACAGACTGTTTTTCTTCTCGGCATTCGTCGCTTGCTCTTTTATTTATTTATTTATTTATCTATCTATTTATTTTCTTGCTTTTATGAAGCCATCATTAATCTAATCAGTGAATGTCGCGCAAGAATATTTTCTCTTTTTTGCAGACCCTAACGCTTATCAAACTTCGGTCTACTCTTGCACAACCAAATGTTCTGTATCTACCATTTGGGTTAATTAGAGTGCATCCTTTACAGCTCTGATAACAATCAGTATTGTACCATCATACATAGCATCTTTTGGATTCAGGAAAGAGTTTGTGCGACTAAGAAATATGAAGTTCTAGAAGATGAGAGCATCATATGTACTCATTACAGCTCTGGAGATAAATGCAGCACTTCAATACACCTTAAAAATAGATAATTGTTTTGAAGAGGTGGAGAGTATTCATGGGAAAGAGATGAGAAGGAAGAAAGAAGATCCTCTGAATACTCAGCATTGACGTGGAGCCAAGCAGGGTTGCAAGGAGCCTTCTCTGATCCTTTCAGTGCATGGTGACAGGGCTCTGTGTCCCAAGAGAAAGAGTGGTGAAGTGAATGAGGAAACAAATGCATTTCTGTAGGTGATGTATTTTTTTCAATTCAGATGCTTTTTTAAGGAAGTAGGGGAGAAAAATGTACTTCTCAAATGTCAAGTACTTGAAAGACTAAAAATAGATCACCGGAATAAATAAATTAACCCAGAAGAGAGGACTGATTCTCTGCAGGCATCAGGGATTAAATAAATTCACTAAATTCAAAGTGGTATTCCAGATAAGAGCTCTTTGTGCTGCAGCATGTACAGCTTATTGATTATAGGATTGAGGTGCTGTGCACTCTTGTAAAATGTACTCCGGCTGATACAACTTAATCCTGTGGTAACGTACAGCATACAGCCCTGCACACCAAGCATGGAGCTAGCTTATATTTTCTTGTTTATTTTAATTTTGTCCCTGCCTTCATTTGCTGCACCACATCTGTGCCCTCTCATTCCCAGGCAGCACTCAGCATAAGTGCTGAGGTGCCTCCAAACACACTGACTCAGCATGATAAGAGCTGTGCTGCCAAGCAGGAGCTGACAGGGAAGAGTCTGTGGGAACTTCCTCCTGTTACATCCCCACCCAGAGGAAGGTAAAGCCTGAGCACCTCATTCTTTCCTTGTATGCCATGGGCTGGCTGCAAGGTTGGGACCCCGAGCACTGGTGATGCCTAGTTGACACAAGGGGCAGAGCGTACAGAGACATTCTCTCTGCAGACGTACATGCATCCATCAAAGTGTTGGAAGTATGCATAACTAAGGTGAAAGCACTCCCTGTTGGATTCTTCTGGGCATGCAGAACAAGTAGAAAGTTTTGTAAGTCCTGCTGGGTGAAAGCAAGCCATTCCAGAGTGAAATTATACACCTAAGTGCATTTTGGTTATCTTACAGTTAATATCCTCAATCTCCATCGTTACTAAAGAGAAAAACCATCTCCTGATACGAGCTGGTGCTTACAGACATGTCACAAGCACAATGAAGGCCTATCCTCAGCCTTCTGCTTGGGTGTCAGTGTGTTCCATTGGTCTCATCCTGCATCACGTCCCCTCCTGAGCCCACAAACCCCAACCCTGGCAGTTGGAGAAGGCAGGGAGGGAAAGGAAGGATGCACCTTGGCATTGTCTGTGATGGGCTCATAGTTGGGCTCACACCTTCGCTCTCAGAATGGAGACTCTCTGTTCATACCTGTTCGCACAAAGAAGGCAACAGCTGTTTTCTGAAGTAGAGACACTACTCTCACCTTTCTGGCCAGATGTGGAACATCAAAGGAAGATCTCCTGCCTCTACTGCTCAAACCAGGTCTTTGCAGGTTGCTCCAAAGAGCTGCAGACCTGTGAGTTTTACCACAGGATTTGTCAAGAAAGATGACACAATCCCAGTCTGCCAGTGGTGACAGAAAGCTGCAGAGCACAGCAGTGCTACTGTCATGCTGGGAAGATTTGGTGCATCCCTCTTGCCCCTCACCTAGCCCCTTACCTTAAGGAATTCCTGGTTGCTAGTTTTCTCAGTCACCAAAAGTGTGGATCTGACCAAGGAAAATTCTGTTATCATTATTTTTTTTTTTTGCCTCCCCTGGGAGAAAGTGATGCAGAGGAACAATTTGAATGAGGGAGTTGCAGAGAATTCATCTTTGGGTAGCATCCCAACTCCCCATGTCTCTCTCCCACCTATTTGACAGATCTCCCATTATCTTACTTCACCAAAATCAAGTCTCTTAATTTCAAGGCACATAGAGTCTACTGTGTAACACTGCCTGTGTGTGTGATCCACAAGGCCTATACTTTAACACCCAAGATTCATTAATATTTCCTGCAGAGTGCTCAGCAAGTAGCAAATAAAGCAGGAAGTGTCCCAGATGTTGGGAAGAAAAAATGGAATAATTCATTGCTTACTAACGTCAAATGCTAATGTGAGAAAAGCATCCTTGAAGAAATCCTTGACTAAAATTCATCAGTGATGTGAAATCACTGTTTTAATTATGCATTTTTGAATGTATTTATTAGTCTCAGTACTGATCTGACTTACAGATGTTTAACAGTGATAAGAGTCTACTGCAGTCTCTGGAATTACTCATGATTTATAATGACAAAACTTGGATCAGAATTAGGTCCTTGTCAGTACTCTATAATATCCTTTCATCAGACTTCTTTACATGCAACAGATGAAAGAGGCCGTGGTTTCCACAATTTCAAACCCTGCTGCTGACTCCATCAACTTATTTTTTTTAAGCTTCTCCTCAGAAATAATGATTCCCACACAAAATTTTGTCTGTATAAGGCATACTTGCCACAAGAAAAACATGAGGCCAAAAGACCTTATAGTCCACCAATATGATGGACTATCTTGTGTTCAATCTTGTGCTGACTACAGATGTTGCATTTTATTACAGGTGCTAGTTAATTTAATTGTGCCAGTGTATAATGTCATTTGCTATATCCTTATTGTTGTGATTATTAGAATCTGCTCAATATTAGAGTTTAAACAACAAAAAAACCCAACATCTTCCATTCAAGAATGATTCAAAGTCATGATTTTGAAAAGAATGATTGAGTTTTAAACTATTGCTTGTTCTAGAGCTGATCCAGAAGGAGCAAGTCTCCAGGGATGGTTTACTCCCTAAGGCATGAATGCATAATTAAGCTAAATGTATTCCATAAATGCCTTGATGACATTAAACTAAATTTTTTAAAGAACAGATGGAGAAAGTTAATAAATATTTCATTCTGTAATATAAAACTCACTTCTGTATTCACAACTTCAGGGATCCTCAGCTTCACAGATATCAATAAGTCTGATGGATTTCTTGCTGCATTCTCATACTTCTGCCCTGGTGTCTCTTATGGGATCATCATTTCTGCATGCTTGGATTGTTTTATGGGATCAGTGAAAGGCAAGTGACTGTAAATCTTGACCTCTTCTGCTCCTGGATTATATACTTTTATTCTTTGTGACCGTAAGTGTTCATCTCTACACCGAATAGATAATTACATGACAAAAATTATTCAAAGAGAATTTATAGTGAGAAATTATCACTTGAGGAACTGATGGGGCACAGGCATAACCCAAAGAGAGAGAAATTAAAAAAAAAAAAAAAAAAGAAAAAAAGAAAAAGTTTAAAAATGCCAGCTAAAACACTGAAGTATCAGTGTGTTTGTAATGTCATGAAGCATCTACTCACTGGGGAAAAATGCTCGATTTTCACCTGTATATAACAATTCCAGTCAAACGAAATTCCCCTTAATGGCAATTAGTGTGAGTTTTACTTAAGAACCATAGAACAAGCTTGCTATTCATACGAAAGAACTAATCTTTACATGTGGGAACTACAATTTCTCACTCTGTGTATGCAATGAGTCTTGTAAAAGAGCAATTAGAACTCCAAAAGGAAAGAAACACCAGACTTGAATAATATTTTAGGAAGAGCATTAACAAACATTTTTATACTGCCAAGAGTCTTCGCTGCTTTCTAGAAGAGGTTTACATTACATTATTAATTAAATATACTGAGTCAGTAGTATGACATAAAGCTTTGGAAATATATGTTTACCATAAACTTTGACATCCATGAGAAAAGCATGTATTTTTAGTAAGTTTAATTTAAAATTTATGCAGATGAATTCAGCAAGCAAGGGCCCAACAAACTACTTCAAAATAGCAAGATCTTGACTGAAAAATACAAGATCAACTCTTTGTCATTTCTCAAGTGTCTACAAGCCTTCACATACACAGAATAAATGACATCACCTCCTGAATTTAGATCGTTTTACATAGCATTAGTATGCATTACTCTTAGTGGGACCACTTTAACCTGTCAGACAATGTACACTTGAGCAATTGCAAGAATTAAAAAATATATAAATTGTATATAATAAGTCTTTTCAGAGCTGGCTCTTATGCTAGGTGGAATACAACAGGGTCCCATGGTGAGCTGGCTGACAAACTCTACCATAAAAACAAACAAACAAACAAAAAAATCATAGCATCATTGTTCCCGTTTTCTTTCCCCCAGCTCTAATTTTCAGTTTTGGATTGCAAATTTCCACAGCTCTCTGTTCAGGCAAAATCTTAAATGCATTGTAGCACAGTGCTTTAAAGAAATACTAATTAATACATCTCATGTTGCATACCACAGAAATTAGTTTAGTCATTATTAAGAGTTAGGTTAGGCACAGGTACATTTGTATCTTCAGAATCAAGGCTTTTAATGAAAAAAAACTCTCATGTTTCCAGACATTCCATTAAAATGGTTGTCCTTTGACGTCAATTAGAGCTAGCTAAAAAAAAATCATCCTTAATTGCTTCTCAGAAAAGATGTCAGAGCATACACCCCCACAGCCACATTCGATTACCTCTTAGAGGAAACGAGGATGCTGGGAATGCTGGGAACCTCCAGTGCTGCTGAACATGGATGGGCCGCGCTGGCAGTGCTGAGCCATGGTGACTGCTGGCCACAGCGGAGGCTGGTCCTCCCACCTGAAACTGCTGCACAGTCCAGAGAGATGCCTACAGGACTGAGAGTGTTTGCATGCTAAGTGCTCCACCCCTGCCTCCAAATAACGCTGACTTCAATCACGCACCTACGCCAATAGTTACAGCTACAAAAAGGACATAATCTTCAAAACTTGTGTATGTTTCATTACAAGGAGCATCAACAGTTTTCTCCAAGAGTTTCTCAGCACCTTTTCTTACTCAAGTGACTCTGTCATTTCTCTGCCAATCAGGAAGAAGAGGAGCCCAGAGAGCAGCGACAGGGGCACGCCGGCGGCAGCAAGGAAGAAGGACCAGCCATATAACACGTGTACGGGAGCCTCCTGCAGGCACACCTCGCTCCTCTCCAGGAGGATGTACTTCTGGAAATCGGCCACAAGCTCCTTCCACAGCACAAAGAGGAAAATGAGCAGGAGAAATAAACTTCCTGAGAAGAGAGACAAAGGTGGTTATTCTCCAATTACAGCCAGTGTATGAAATTCAGAAAGGTTAAAAGTGAGAAAAAATTGCAACAGGTTCCCATTTATTTTTTCAGGCTAGTGTTCCAGAATGGTGACATTTGTCAGGTTTTCCCTGACAAAGAAGGCAGGAAAAGAGGAAAAGAGAAGAGATGCTCTTTCAAATATCAGATCCTTTTTTCAGCAGAAATACAAGACCTGTGGACTGGTCCTACTGGTGGCAAGCACTATCTGTTTGCTGAACCTACTGCAAGCAGTGCCCCACAGACTTCGGCTGGTTGCCCCAGCTCACAGAAGTGCCCCTTCATGTCCTAATGGCCACGATACATCAGCCTCAGGTGAGCAACTCAATACCAAAGTCAAACAGCTCATTCCAGAGGCCATGGAGTCTTTTCACGACCCAGCGTTAGCATGTGAAACCTCCATGAGCCAGGTGGTGAAGGACTGAGGACACTCCAGGCCTCAAGGTCAAAATCTCCCTCAGCAGCTCTCCCATCAGACCCAGTGCTTTTTATTTCTGTACATACCCCATAGAAGGCCTTGGAGGTCAACCCTCTCACGTCTGAAAAGCACGTGGAGGGTGGGCACCTCATTTTGCTATTCTGATTGCAACACCCCATAACTCACAGTGATGAGGATCTGCATGAAGCAGACAACAAAAAACCAGTGTGGTCGCAATGTTACTTGTTTCATTGCATTAAAGAATATATATAATGCATTTAAAAGTCAACATATGTTAACATTAAATGGTGACGGTGTGACGAAAGATCTGAAGCTACATCAGTAATATCTTATCTCACCACATCACAGCTAGAAACTTGCCATTTTTTAACAGTGCTATATAACATATAGACGGACACGCACATGCATACATATATGGAAGAAATACGTCAGAGATGATGGTATGTCCATAATAGAAGTGAACAGTTTGAAATTAATACAGTTGACAAGTCATTGCACAGTTCTGTGGACGCGTTCTGGCGTTTCATTCCTCCCCTTGCAATTTTTAAACTAAAGGTAGCTTGTACTATATTTAATTATTCCCCCCAGCAGCTTATGCACTACAAAATCCAGCCTTCATGCTAGGCAAAGGCTGTGGGTATGGCTTGGCATTGATCTATCTGCTTAGGAACGGAGCTTAGTGAAACTTTGCTTGAAGGAAACACAGCAGTGTTGGGCTGTGTTTCTGCTCATGGTGATATAAGCACATATTGCTACAACATCCTGCTTCACATCTTGTAGCCTGGAATGAGGGTCCAAAACATTCCTCAATCCTCACTAGCAGTTGTATAGAAGCTGAAGCTACTCATACTGAGCTGTCATATTTATTAAACTGCATCCTGTGCCCTAGGACTGGGAATTGAATCTTAAAAATCAAAAATTTGTGTAACTGGATCAACACACTTCACATCACCACACTCTGCTATCTCAGACCGTTCTCCCTCCCATAGACAAGTCCTCATGGGCACTGCAAAGGCAGGCTAGGAGTTAAACAGCAGCTGGTGTAACATTTGCATGTTCATTGAGATTGTGATACCACTTGAAATTACATGCACAAATAAATATTTTACACTTAATATGATAGTTGTATGTTTAAAATACCAATTATTCTACTTTAAGAAAATGATTGAATGCTTAAATAGTCACATGTTCTTTACAAAATACAATATATTGATAAGAAGGCAATTAAGCCTTTATTACTGATGTAATTTAAAATTAAATTAATTAGATAGCAACTGAACCTTGAAAAGTGCTCTTTTAAAGATCAATTTATATTTCATTAACTTATAATACCTACCGTAAAAGACACAAATAAAAAAAAAAAAAGTAGTCCCAGAGGAACAGAGGACATGGGTATGGCATTTTTTTTTTTTCCAGAATTTTCCGTTTTTCTTTAAGTAACATTTTGTTGTTGTTGTTGCTGTTTTATCCCTGGGCAAACCAGATTATCTGAGGCTCATTTTCTGACCAAAGCCTACCTGCACCTGTGCAGCTGCTGGGGAATCTTCAAAGAATGTCACTGCTTTGTCATTAAACAGGTGGTGGAGGTGAAGGCACAGCCACAGACTTGGCACCAAAATTCAGAACATTACGACAAGAAAACACAAAGTGATTTCTTTCCTAGGATAATCACTCCGGAGTTGCAAGGAGTCCCTGGAATTTATACAGTCTCCACAGTGAGAGAGTCTTCCACAGGAAACCAAAAGCCACCACCTTTGGATGCTTTTTGTAGCAGCTGTAGCAGAAAGACATCTTCATTTCACACTTGCCCCAAACAGCTTCCTAAGTGCAGGAAGAGATTTCTTGGAATCTTGGTCAGCAAACTGAAAGAAACTGTTTTTTTTCAGTACCACTCTGTCAAGCAGCAAACCCAGCATGCCTCTTTGATTCCGTTCATTAGGCAGGTACAGAAAAAATTAACTGCAAAACTCAGTCTCCAGACTGATGAGATCAGTAGCACCTTGCAGGAAGGAGCAAATTGCGGGTGGACTGGAGTGGGGCATTCAATCTCTCCTCCATCCAGGGCTAATTACAAGCCACCTGAACCTTGGAGAGCTGCTTCCTACTGGTGGGTGAATGGAAGTCTGCCTTCTGCTTTCTCTCACTTCTTATCCTTATGATACCTTTATAGCCCTTAAGTGTAGGGACAGGTGAGTGAACTCAGTCTTATTCTGTGGAAGCTCCTGAACTTGCGTGTAATCTCCTAATTGTGAGAAAAATGAACTTTGACAATCAGCAACTCGTTTGCCTCTTTGGGATGTTCATAATAAGGAAATGGAGGAATGACCTTCAGCTGCCTTTTCCCATCCATCAGTTTGTGCTGCTCACAGAGGGCCTGAGACTTTCTGAAATGATTTGGGGCCAGGTGTGCTGGAGAACTAGCATGGGGACCACAGTGGCTGGAAGAAGCATAGACTGCATATTTACCAGTATTTCTGCCTTTCCAGGGGAGCTGGTGATGAGCTCCTGTTGGTGTTCCTTAGCATCACCCAGGACACAGCAGGACAATTCCTCCCTCTAGCAGCTGAGCTGCCCCAACACTGGTGATGCCTATTCTCACTTGTAAGCATGGCTGCTAAAACACCCAAAGGAAACCAAGAAGCACAAGGGAATACAAGCCAGGAATTTCAATACAGATGCGATGCAGCATTTCCCTAATGTCATTGTGATGCTAGTTAAGTGTATTGTCACCTGGCAGTTTTTAGAAGGGGTGATGAGGAAATAATGAGGGGTGCATCCTGCATCCATTTGGACATTATTTTCAAGCACGATTGATAAGCTTGAGTTCAGTAACAAAAAAGAAAAATTACAATAAACAGCTGAAACCCTAAGTGAACACTCCTGAAAAGATATTGCATAATTCTAGCTTTCATTTAGATCAAAAACATAACTTGGGGAGGATTTGGGTGCTTGAGCCCTATCTCAGCCACTTCAGCTCATGCACACATCAGATTGCCAGCACTGATCACCAGAAGGCACTGGCACCTAATGAAGGTCTGAGAGCAAGATATCTTGCATTCCCAAATGAAATTTCTACATGTGCAACCACATAAAATTTACCTTTAGAAAAAAAATTAAACCCAACTGAGCATTTATTAAACTGTATAAGAGAGAGATAAGCGGATACCCACAGGCTTGCTGGGCTTGCTTCAATAACTGAGGACCCAGAGGCAAATGGAAAATTGGACAAAATGCAAAGCAAATTAGCAGAGGCAGGTAGGGCCACATTGATTTAGTGCCTCCCAGATTTTTTAGTCAAATAGATAGATGCAATCTAGCTTCATGTTAACAACCATCTCAGGTAGAATCACATGGTTAATTATTAGTACATCTGGAGAAAATGGAGACTGGGAAAGAGCCTGTGAAACAGAAAGGAAGCTAAATAACTGGGGGAAAAAAGTAAAAGAAAATAAGGGGATAATAAGGGGAATGTGAGTGGAGTTCTTCCAGACTTCATTTTGGGACTTCTCTTGTTAAGTCATTTTCATGAATGTTTTTGAGTCCAAAAAGCTTAAGCTCACAAAAAGCCCAAAATGGCAGAAAAGATGCTAGCTTGTGTTTGATTCATTCAGTGCTTGAGGAATCAGAACCTGGTGCAGGGCCCATAATTAAGCAAAATTAATTTCAGAGGAAGGCTTGAGTTCATTACAAAGTTATTCACTTGGCAGCACTCATCAGAGCTCCAACCTTTAACTGCTTGCATTGTGGGGAGAAAAAAAAAAAGCTTTTTTTCTAAGTTTGAGTCACAGTTATAAATCAAGTACTTCTCCAGTTATTCCCTCTCAAATACAGAAAAGGCCCAAGTGATAATTCACTGGACTAATTTGTAGTGGTAGTGGGGATTATGAATCAATGCCTATTTTTAATTCATTTCCTGCTGTGATACTGCTTTATCTTTACAGATTTTATTAAAAACCAGGCCTCCAGTTTTGAACTGCTGGGTATGCCTTTCATTGCATGGTGGTTCTCCAGGTTCTAGCAGAGCAAGAACAGAAGAGGCTCAAATATGAAGGCACATTGGCAGAGAAGATTGTGGCTGATCACTGCCTGGGATAAATGCAACTACTAACATTACCCAAATAAAAAGGCTCTGGATATCGTACAAGGCTGTAGGAAAAAAAAAAAAAAGTAGTATGTTTCCCAATTCCCAGGCTCCTTAGGACTAAGAACTATCTTTCTAAAGCTTGGCTCAGCATAGAAATTTATTTCCACTTGGGGAAGGGGAACATTTACTCCAATTCACCACTGCTGCCATCAGAAAACCAATCCCTCCCCAGCATCCCTGGAGACCACCGCATCACTGTTTGCCACTCATCGCTGTGTGCCTCCCCATCATTGGGTACCACCCCATTCCTTTGCGTGCAGTAGGCTGCGCACACTCCTTTCTGATTTCCACTGTTGGCTTACCTGAGGCTATCAGGAACCCGCCGCCCACTTTGTAGGACCTGGCGCTGACAAAGGGCACACCACACACCAGCAGCAGCCCTCCCACCAGGCCAGCAGCAACGGCCAGTATGATGAACGCCGTCCAGAAGCCTCTGTACACTGCATGAAAGCCAAAAAGAAGAGTCAGAGAAAAAGGAAGGGAAGCTCAGCTGGGCTTTTAGAAGGCTGTGAGGAACTCCTCCATCAATGCCAGCTTGGGCAACAAAATGATGGTGAGCACTGGGGTCATGAGCAGTTTCTCCAGCGGGGAGCTGCTGCTGGTGTTGAGCAGGGCTGTAGCCAGTATGTTGTTGTGTGGTTGCAGAATGCAAGTTCAGGCTGTGTGTCACGATCTGACATGAGATTGGAATGAGAACATGGAGCTGAAAGTGTTTGCAAGGAGACCACACCAGAGAGTATGTGAGAAGGGAGGACAGCCCCAGGTGTGGGCAGTGAGGGCTCTTCAGGTACAAACTCTCCAAACCTTCTCCCATTTCCCCCAGTTTGTCCGGTCTGCTCAGACCACCACCTCCCACTGCTCCTATTGCTTTTTGTTGCTCAGAAGCTCAAGTTAGAGAGATTTGAGCTGAGCATGAGCAAACAGCAATGCTGAAATGACTCACACTTGAAAGAAAAATGACACAGAGAAGATGCGTTTTGCTCATTTTAAGCCATTTTGTCAGGAGAGCCACTTAGGGAGAGATAAGTATCTTGAACTCTCCGAAACCACAGAATTCATTTTAATGTTTAACCTCCCGTCACCCATTTCTCTCAGGGAAGCCTAAGAGGATGCAGATAAGGCAGAATTATCTCTGGCGCAGGTAATAGCTGGAGGACCCACTTCTTGGACGGCCTCCTGTTTTGTCATAATTTGCATCTGAGTATGGACTGGCTGGGAATAAAATAAAAGTGTATGTCAGAAAAGCCTGCTCCATGCGCACTGCCCAACACTTTGCAGTGTGGTTGGTGCAGATCCCAATTCCCAGAATGAGGGTGCTGAGATATCCCCAGCTCCATACCGACATGTCCCCATGTCCATGCCATCACGTCCTCATCTGGTGCCAACGTGTCCCCATCTCCCCAGGGATGAGCTCATCAAGACCAGTTCAGCAGCAGGACCGCAGCAGCCTCAGCACCGGGGCTGTCCCCAAAAGGCATTTTGGAGGCAGCTGCAGAGGCTGCATAGCACAGTCTGATGGGCAGCGACAGATGGCTGAAGGGCTCTTTATTTAGCACAGAAAAATCCCTGTGTTTACCATTGAGATCATTCAAAAACTGGAGTTGTACCACTCCCTCCTAAGCAGAAAAATAAGCCAACATTTGCCCATGTGCCTGCCATACACAGCCCACAATGGGCTTCTCTTTCTGCCATCTATTTCACATTTCAGCTTGCTCCTGGAGGCAGGGATCCGGCACAGCAAAGGAGTGAGATGCTCTCCCTCACATGCTCCTACTGACAAATATTTTTTTTTTAATTAATTTCTCGTAAAAAAAAAAAGTATAAAAAATAAAAAAAAAAAGGTACTGCTAAAGGCTAAGGAAAAGGTCAAGATGTTTGTTTGTGCAGTATGCCTGCCCCGGATCCCCAGAGGCAATGCAGAGTGATGCACACTATTTAAAGAAATCAATTCATTTCCAAAAAGATCATGGAATTAATTCTAGCTGCTGCCACCAATTTAGCAAATTAAAATTCCTAGCAGCAGCTGATTCATTAAAGAACTCTGAAAATACAGAGAAACATAAATAAAAAGGGAACCAGTTGAAAGGAGAGCTTTCCAACTGTGTCGTATTCGAGGTATTAAAAATAAGTGCGATGGATCTTCCGACAATTTGGTCTTTAACTGATTTTCCAGTGTTTGTTTATTTTGTCTCGCAACAAATCAATGCTGGCGCTCTCCCAGGAAGCCACTCGAGGCCACTTTGCAAGGGGCTTCCCTGGTCATGGTTGGCCATGAGGATTGGCAATAGGACACACATAGCACACAACATGCTTCCCGGCCCCACGGCTTGAAAATGGAGCTGGGAAGTGACCCACCTGCAGTCGTGTCATAGGAGGGATGTGGGAAAGGCCCCAGGACGATGGGCATGGGGAACAGGTAGCCGTGCATGCAATGCTTGGGGTGTGCTTGGCTGGCTGCAAAACAACAAAAGATTTGCTTTAATTTTGTGCAAAACTACAGTTAAGCTGTTCAGATGGCAAACTGACATCAATATTCCCATTGCTATTTTGCTCCAGAAACCACCTGCAAGGGGAGAAGGGGTTTGGGTACCAGAGCCAGGGTACCTTTCCTTTCCTCGGTTGGTAAGAAAGGAAAGCACAATTAGAATGGACGTGCCCCATCAATATTAATACCACTGAGACTTATCGTGATTAACAGTAATAGAATGAATGTTAAATGAATTAATTAATGATTGGACACTTATTTAAATATGTTCCCCAGCTCAAAGGAACACTTTATAATAGGTGGACATTAGTTCATGCTAAATTGACTATGGAATACCTATTGAATTAATTATTACATCCACGAGAGCAGCAAATTAATTTGCCATGATCAATCCTATTATAATAAATACCTAAAGAAGTAATAAAAATTTGCCAGCTATCAGAAAGAGTCATTTTACTTCAGGTAACACTGTATTGTATAATGTATTCCTGTATAATGTTAGATAGCAAGCTCCCTCTCTCAGCCTTTTTCATCAAAAAAATTCCGTGTGAAAAACTCTGCGCTGTTCTACTGAACAGTGGCAGTAACAGTTCTACAGAAAACAGAGGTCAGGGGCAGAGGGACAGCAAAACCATCTGAAATTTTAACCACCGGGGAATAAACAGATTGTGGGAACCTGCATTATTTTCAGCCACATCCCTCAGTAGGGTTATCCTGCTGCTCCATGAGCCTGTAAGCATCTCTGAGCAGAGCGAGCAGAGGGTCAGGGCCTTTGCAATGTTGAAAACCTTGGCAGACATTTTTTTTTTTTTTTTTGCCTCTTAATATGTTTCACCTTCTTCGATTTTTTCTTAAACATGAACATGCTTTCAGAAAATAATGATTTTGCATCACTCTGCTTCTTTGCAGTGAAATCCTCACGTTTGTGACTTCTATGACCTTAAAAAGCAAAACAGGCAAGATCTGAAAGCAAAGGTCTTGTGTGCCCAGGAGCACAGACCCACTTGGTTCTGTATGGGCTACCCCTGCCCACTCCTGGGTGCTTCCTGACTTCTTCTAGCTTGAAAACAGTAGGAGGGGGAATGCTCAACCAAAAGGGGAGCACCTAGAGGTCTCATGGTTGGATGGGGCCCTGGGCAGCCTGATCTAGTGGGGGTAAAACAGATTTTCTGTAAAAAACAGGAATTGAAGAGCAGTGCTAAGGACAAGGTGAGCATGGGTTCAAATTCATCACACCTTAGCTTGATATAAATATCATGGTGCATGGGAGCAAAGTCAACCCTGCTGGTGGATGATCTTCATGGATGATATTTTAATTGGCACCATGGTGTTCCTGTGTGATGGTGTCCAATGAGAGCAAAATCCAAGTCCAAAAAAAGAACCCATGAAGAATGCCCCAAGTTAGTTGTTTTTGGAGAGATGATGAGAATGAAAAGAAAAAAAAAAGTGTGGAACAAAACACAGTGCAGAGGCATCAGACTGGCAGCAGCACCAAGAGGCACAGCGTGGTACTCACTGTACCAGAAGGTCCAGATGGTCGTGGACTGGCCCTCGCCGAAGAACCAGCACCGCCAGAAGAAGCCCTCGTGATGGAAAGTGAGGATCTGCGTCCCAGCCTCTGTCAGTGTGTCTGCCTGTGGGGAGTGGAGGAAAAGCTGATGTGAGGTTGGTCACAGCACGTGTGTTTAGCTCGGATGGTTGTGGGTTCATTGCTGCTGTTTAAGTTGGTTTTGGAGGAGTCAAGGAATAGCTGCTGCCCTCAATTTTCTTCCGTATCACAGCTACAAAACAAATACTTTAGTCCCTTGAAATAATTTCTATAATCACAGCTATCCTGATAAAAAGGATCCCGCAGATCCTCGCAGACAATCTTCTCACTCCAAAGACATTAAAGCACTGATTGCCGGAGCTGGAAAAGTATGCCAAGGATACCACTTCTTAAATAATTTCCCTAAGGAAGCACTATTGCTGTTGTAACCAGTTGGAAGCAGGTGGATCCAGGTAAGCTATTTCAGAGGTGACCAACACAACAGGTCAGATGCCATCACACTCTGCAGGATCCATGCAAGGTCTCACCTGACCTCAGAAGGCAGCCCGGTGCTGTCACTCACACCCAGCCCCTGCTCACCACTCCAAAAGTTTCCTGCTTTCCTCCTGCTGCTGAACCTGCAGAGATTATGATAACCTGATGTCAGATGGGAATTACTCTTTCACCGCACCAGTTTTCGCATGGCCCAGTTCAGTATGCTGACAAATGTTCTCTTTTTTTGGTCTAAGTGCAAACCACAGACCAGACTGCAAATGCAAGGTCTGGGTCGTTCCAGAAGGGAGAATATTGCAGTGCTGAGTCATAAACTAATTACCGAAAACCAAATTATTGAAGCCATATCCAAAATCCATTTTATCTTTCTCATGCTCAGTTTGGTTAAAAAGACACAGCTGTTAGAAAGTTCTATTTTGTAGAGGATGGAGAAGCTCTGCATAGGAATGGCAGTGCACTGGGGAAAGGAGATGGGACTCAGCAAGGAGGTATTGGGAGATGCTCCCTCACCTTGAAGTCCTCATAGATCAAGTTATGACCACTTTCAGAGTTCTGATTCTCCTTTTACTTTCAGGATAAAATGCCAGCTATGGCAATGGTGTCATGCAGACCCCACTGGCTTTCTGCAGACTTGGTGCACATTTAACTGCTGCATGGCAGATAACAACCCTTCTTATCCATTAGGGATAGAGTTTGCCAGTTTAGAAAAAGACAGATAAGGTAAAACCCACCAGTGCCTAAACTAAGAATCATAGAAATAGCATCTGAAATAGAAACAAACAGCTCAGAGGAAAGAAGAGGAGCAATGCCCACTTCTTCCTGATGGTACTGGAATCATCATGCCTCAGCAACCAGCAAAGAAACATACGGCCAAGATCATTCCTGACACCTCTGAGGTGTCTGTGTCATGCTGCATGCCATCCCTGCCTTTCGCTCTAAAGGACAGCAGCACTAACAAAATCCAAAACAATTAACACTGTCATTTCCTTAGCAGGGAACCAGAGCTGCACTCCTCTGGCTGTGGCTCTGTCTCCTTTGGGGTTCTATTGCACTGCTTTAGACAAAAAAGACGCTGTCTTTTGCCAGGCAGTTTTATCTATTTCTTTTTTTTTTTCCTGTAGTATTAGTAGTGGAAAAAGTCATTTGGAAACATGACTCAAACAGTGCCCCACAATTGACAATGGGATTCTGAAATGACAGCATTTCTTGCTGGCATCATGATGCTTACCCAGTGTGACTCACCACACCAGAAAACATCAAACCTAATTGGATTGAACTTTGGAGTAACAAAAAGTCTGCACGCAACAAGGAACCTCCTGTCATTTTTTAATTGCGGCCACGCATTGATCAGCTCAGAAATATTTCAGAAGAGCGGATGGCTCCGGGAATGCAGCCGGCTTCGATTGCTTGGGCAGGCAGACAGCAGCAAGTTCAGCTCACAGCACACTTTCAAAAGGATCTATAAACATGTGATAGGAGTACTAAGCACTAGAACACCTGTCATAAAAACAGGAAACATTCAAAATCATCTTTCTTGCTAACAGAAACCCTACACAAATCCTAATTTGACAATAGACCTCTCCACGTGAGATGGGCAGGAACCACTGCTGGCTCTGCCATGCACCTGCTGCTCGCTCCTGTTTGCTGTCTGTAACACAGCTCTCTCACTTCAGATGTAAATGCTTGCCAAGCTCTACACTTTAAAATATGAGCTACTTTTAAATGAACAAATGAGGTGGAGAAATCTTTTAATAGAAAATATCAGGAGATATCTTTTGTTTTTCGAGGCAAAGGCTGTCAACAAGTAAAGCTCTTACATTTTTGCCTTTCATTCCCTAACATTCATATCTGCCAGAATACAGAAGCACTGTTTTCATGTTTTCCAGACATTTTTAGTGTCAAAACACTCACAGAATCATAGAATGGCTTGAGTTGGAAGGAACCTCAAAGCCCATCCTGTCCCAACCCCGCGCCGTGGCCTGGCTGCCCCCCATTGGATCAGGCCCATGCAACCTGGCCCTGAGCACCTCCAGAGACGGGGCATCCAAGGGAGCTCAGGATGACTTTTTGCATTAACAGGTCACTTTAAATAAGCATGGATCTAAAGCTGCCAACACCTAAATTGAAGGTAGCTGTGCCGCTTTTCGACAGTTGTAGAGCAAATTATTTAAACGAAAGCTCTCTCTTCCCTAGAATAACCTGGTTGTGTATTTACCTCTCTGGACTGGTGCGTGTTGTTTCCATCCCCGATGACCCCACACATGTCCGCAGCCAGCAGCCAGTAGTCCGTCCCAAAGGCGAGCAGGAAGAGCAGCATGGCCGTGCTGCCCAGGATGCCCGCTGTCAGGGCAGCAATGCCAGCCTTCATGGCCCAGCAGAATTTGGGGAAAAAGGGGTAAACACTGCGGCTTCCCAGTCACTGAGAGAAGAGAAGGGAGAGAAGTGCTATTCTGGGACGCAGATAAGGATCTTCGGGCGGCCGGTGTGAGTTTCAGGGGGTGGCAGAAAAGGGACTAATAAAAGCAGATGACCTGGAGTAGCCAAACAGCTGTGGCATTAAGGGAACATGACAAACAGCTATTGAGACAGAGAAGGACAGCTTCAAAAAAAACACATGGCTGCTCACTTCAGTGCGGTGAGCAGCGAGCACGGGTCATGGGCACTCGTGGTGCCGAGAGAGAGCTTAAAGCATGCTGTGCATGGGACGAGCAAACCTGAGCCCACAGATATCACCATTCCAGAGCCCATGGCTCTGTGCTATCTTCAGTTGTGTCTGCCAAAGCACCGTGCAGAATAAAGCCCATACAAACCCCGGGGGTCCAAGCGATGTATTAAAATATTGGTGACCCTTTCAAAACCCCGGTGCTCTCAGAGCAATGCGATCATCCCACACACACACAGTTACATCAGCATGTCCGCATCCAGCAAGGCACAGAGCTCAGCTGTCAGCACCTGCACATCCTTCCTACACACCTGGAATGGGGATCTCCTTACTGCTGCACAAAGGCAGGCAGTATATGGCACTCAGTCCCCTTCCAGTGTCCTGGGGCATGAGGACAACCCTGCGCAGAATTCTGTTGCCATTTGGCTCCCAATGCTTTTGTCTGCTGCTGGAGCATCTGCTGTAGATCACTGCCAGCAACAGGATGCCAGACCAGTAAAACTGCAATTTCTGTAGGGCAATAACTATATTCCTGTGGCATGCCAGCAGTCTAGGGGAGGAAATTTAAACTACAGTGAAAATTCAAGTGCCGATTTTTAGACCTCAGCCTTAGCCATGACCCACCTAAAAGGAGGATAGAGGAAAACGCTGATTTCCTCAACCACATTGGCAAATTAATTTCTAAACCAGTGTTATGAAGGCAACTGTGCACATATGGGTATAGCAGAGAAGCCGCCCACAGCCGAGGGAACTGGAGAGAGTTGGGTGAAATTCTAACTATACTTTCAAGCAACTGCCAGTGCACGTGGACTGATGAACCTGAGTATAAAGTACTTCAAATTACAATAAGCGATTATATCTTCCGTATTGCTGTTTCTTAAACATTGCAGGCTGGTGTGGCTGTTAAATAATACAGCAGTTCTCTCTTCCTCACTGTCACAGCGGGTTAGCGGTACACAACTACTGTAGCAAAGTGACCTCCTTCTATTGAACACAAAACGGTTAATTAAATACAAAGTGCAATATATCTATCACATAATTAATCTCCAATAAGTGCAATTTCAATTGGTTTCCATTTAACAAACATGGAATACCAGTGAAACCTGTATGGAGTGGCCAAGAAAATCGGTTGCCCTCTATTTTTGCGATGTGTAGGTCAGAACTGAGTCCATCAGTGGGGATGTTCTGCCTGAGGGTGCCCCATGAAACCACAGCATGACATACCAGCAGCGAGGACTGCTTGCAGATCGCAGTGCAACCACATGGAATTACAACACAAAGTGGGCACTTGCATATTCAAAAAAAAAAAAAAAAAAAAAAGAAAGAAAAGAAAAGAAGAGGGGGGATTAATGCACAATTCCACATTTAGGTGTGTGCTTTTTAGCTAGCTGTATTTGGCAGTGCTGCGTTTATGCTAATGCATGTTTGCACGTTAGTGTGGTTTGCCATTTGGAAGGCATCCTGTGCAATTCTCAGTCCCATTGGCAGCAAAACGTTGTGTGGCTGCAGCAGAGCATCACCATGCCCAGCCCTGGCTCCCGATGGGCTGCTCTGTGCCCAGCCAAACATTTTCCAAATTCTTCAGCTGTGGAGTTTGCAAGGTCAGAGTGCCTCTCCAGTGACTTTCTTCCTCCTCAGCTCAACTCCATGGATGTGTTCCTCACCTCTGCAGAAAAGCAGTAGATAATATTAAAATTCTTATAATAGGAACGCTTTTTTTTTTTTTTTAAGTATTGTGAACTGTACTAATAGAAAAAGTAGTACCTTTGCTCTTCAGGAAAAGCATGCTTATTAGTTTTAAGGTTCAGATCTACTCTGGTTTTGAAGGTTGAATTCGTTTTTTTCGTTTCCTTTTGTAGAAGTGCTTTGTTCATATTTTATACAACGCAACAGACAGTCTTGTTAATGGGCAAGACCCACGCACACCACACCACACCCTGCAAGGTTGGAAACACAGGTGAGATGGTGGCTGCCCTTTCCAGCTTGCTTTGGGATTTCTGGAGAAGTCCTGGTATGGACTGAGAGGAATAAATATTTGCATTGACATTTGCCCCTTTAATTCTGCATTAAGAACATAGTCATTGGTTTGTCTCCATCCACGTCTACATTTCTCTTGGAAGAAGCACATAAGCCCAGACGTTGAAAGATGCTTGGTGTTTCTGGGGATACCCCAGAGCTTGATGGCAGGAGAGAAGAAAGCTCAGCTTGCCTCACCTGCTTCTCAGGAGTTAGTAGCGCTTTCCAGGATTAAGCTGTTATAATCACTTTAAGCAGTCATGAAATAAAATAAACACAAGCATGATTTTCTGGTTAAAGTTTAAAAAAAAAAATCCACACGCTGAATGCAAATTCTTTTTGTAGGGGTGAGAGCAAGGCAGATTTACAGCTTGCTTCTGAGCGTGGCCGATCGCTGTGCCCAGGTGCCAGTCTGGGCTCTCCCTTTGCCACTGAGCTACTCCACATCATTAGCAACTTTTCCCTGTTTTAACCTGAACTTTCAAAAGACTCCTGCAAACTTCCCAAGTGAGCGCAGAGCCATAACTCTCTGAACTACCAAAGGAATCAAGCTGATGCAATTTATTTCCACAGAAGCATGCAATATTCAATGATACAGCGAATCCATGTTTTAAACACTTTTTAAAGGACTAAAACCCTGCAAAGAATTAATTAGGCATGCTCTGAGGCCCAAGCATTTAACAGTTTTCCACTCAGTTGTTGAATTTTAAGACCACCAACACTGGATACTGGCATAGATTATCAAATGTATGCTAGGCTGAAATACACACTAGGCAGAAGGCTTGGCCACTAAGCAGCTGGAAAATACTTCATGAAAGCTTTGGCTGTGCTATTATATTTTGTAAAGAAACTTCTTTAAAAAATCCATAAAATCTAGGAGGTTAAATTTGGGGCAGAGTGACTCATTGGGAAACTATGTACTGCACAGAATATTGTCTTCTCTGCAGATCAAGCAAATGGTTCATACACCAGAGAGGTATTTGGGTCCCAGCACTGCAGAGTGGCACTGGGAGGGATTAATAGGTTGGGAGGGGTTAATGGACTGGGATCCATGCAAGATCAAGCCGATGCCTGGTTGTCCGTTTTTTCATCATCAGAGAAAATACGGGTAGTGCAAAGACCCCATTTTCTGGAAGCATCCTGCTTTTTCCAACCATTTTTATCATTTACTACAGTATTACAAAGAAATACAGATGTGCCAAAGCAGCCGCAACCCAATAAGGGCCTTGGTAAGCCATAACAGTATTGCAGAGAACTCATGACAATGAGTGATGACAACTGAATTATACCAAAAAATCAGTTAAATATGCACATATACACATATGCATACACAAAAACTAATGCAAGGCTGATTTTCATTGCATGCAATTGGATAAATTTACAGTCTTGGGCAGCCAGGAGTAGCCTTCAAGTGAAATTAAATTAAATTAATCAATTTATTTCAAGACAGTGTTATAGAAGTTTATCCAAATAAAAATGAGGCCCTTACATCTTTGTAAAGCAAACATACGTTTTTGTGTCTTTAACTTTGAGTGAATGCTGCAGGGTATCAGGCAGTGATCTCCTAATGGAGCATTCATGTACACAGGAGATTGGCTCCCAAGGTCCAAAAATATCATGGAGGGAAGTTTGCAAATTCCTATAACTTCTTCTATTCTTAATTCAGAGTTTCTTTGCCACTTGTTCAGATTAAATCATAGAATCCTAGAATCATTAAGGTTGGAAAAGACCTCTAAGATCATCTAATCCAACTATCAGCCCACCCCCACCGTGCCCACCAAGCATGTCCCTCAGTGCCACGTCCTCACAGCTCTTGAACACCTCCAGGGATGGTGACTCCCCCACCTCTCTGTCAGTCTGTGCCAGTGCCAAACCACTCTTTTAAGAAACGAAATTTTTCTTAATATCCAACCTGAACCTCCCCTGTTGCAACTTAAAAATGCTCTTGGATTCATTGCAGAAGAAGGGAAGAGAAAGAAAAGTACCACTGTTTGCAGTACCAAACTTGAGCCTTTTGGGTTTGGATAAGAATGCAAAGGCTTGGACACTTACTTACCTTCACCTTTGGACAAAATGATGCAAATGTGGAAGTGTCTCTCATCTTCAGGTGCTATCCTTGCAGCTCTGCTCCTTTGCAGCAGGGATTGTGCCTTTCCTGACAGCAGAGGGATAGGGACCTCTTTCTCTACTTATTAGGACATTAATTCAAGCCTCTTCAAACACTAAAAGTCTCAGTAATGGCAGTAGAAAACCTCTCAGAGCCTGTGCAGTCCAGCTCGTGGTGCAGGCACCAACCTTTGCACTGGTTAGTGCCTGCTCTGGAGCAGATGTTGAGTCCCAGTAGCAGTGCTGCATCACCATGTGAGAGGAGTGACCCCAGGTCAGTGACTGTCCCCTCTCCCCTTCCAGCTCTGTTCTTTGTGCAAGAGTTTGCATGTTTCCTGCCCCAGAGATCGAAACTGACAGGCTTCTCCATAGAACATTTTATTTTCCAGTGTTAATCCTTAACTAAATTTTAAAAGAATATTTGTACTGCTTCTAACACATCTGTAATAAGTTTCCCTTAAGAGACCCAAGTGCTGTTGTGGAATATTCCCTCTGCTAAGACACTTCACCTGATTGAACAACAGGATTTGACTCAGGAATGCACATGATTAATGCTCACACTGAGGACTCACCAGTTCCTGAGAAGCAGCAGAGGTTTTTTGCTCTGTCTGCTGTCATTTCTGCAGCATGCTCCACCATTTAATAGAACTGTCTTTGAGATTACAAAGTTTCTCCTAACATATAATCTAAACACTCCCTGCTGTTTATTCTATCCCTGCTGACTACTGAGAAGCCCCAATATCCCATTTTATTAAACATTTTTTCTTGCACTTTCTTGTCTGTGCATCATTTCACAGAATCATAG